CACACCAATTCATCTTCAGCCAAATAACCCTCCTCATTGTTACCAAAATAGGCCAAACAGGAGTTTTTGGACACACTGTTCTTCTTCCCTGGCATCTGCATGGCTCCCTCCCTCACTCAAGATCCTTGCTCTTATGTCACCATATTCAGAGTGGCCTTTCCCAACGACCCACACTCACCATTTCCCATCTATCCAGGTTTATTTTTCTTTTTAACACTTATTACTAATAAAGATAAGTATATTTTATTGCCTGTCTCCCCTTACTAGAATATAAACTCCTTGAAGGCTTCTATTCTATTTACTGCTATAAAATTCAGTATCTCTAACAGTACCTGGCTCACTGAAGGTAGTCAATAACTTGATGAGTGAATGAATATAGGCTTCAGGAAAACGTGTGGTCTCTTGTACATGCCAAGTCTCCAATCTCCCCTTTCTCTAAATATCCTATAAACTTCCAAAACCAGGCAAATGTGACCATCCATATTCTGCTTTCAAACTCTTTAATAACACTCATAGACTCCCATATAGGCTAAGACACTTACATTGTACACAAGGCTCTTCATGGAAAGACCACCACCACCCACCTACCTCACTGTCCCCAGCCTCCATACCAATTCTGATCCTTTAAAATCCTGCATAAGCCAGTATCTCTTCTGTGTTTTCCCGAAACTCTACAATTAATATCCTCACCCAGACAAACCACTCTCATCTCTGTATCTTGAAAATGCTTCTCTTGCACCATGTATGTGAAAAAAATATCTTAAAAAAATGTCCATCTCCCCTACTAGCCTTAAAGCCCCCTAGATACTTTACCTAAATTTTGTATTCTCAGGATCCAGCATAGTAAAGGCTTAAATAAATCATAGTGTAACTGAAGAAAATATCAATAATTATATATAATACTGGTGACCAACCCCCTCAAAAAACCTTTAAAATAACTATTACCTTGAAGTGGTCATGTAGAAACCTGGTTTCCAGAGAACACTCTCTAAAAGACATTCTAAGAAACTACTATAAGATTCTAAAAACAAAATCAGCATACCTTCTATAGTTTTCATACACTTTACATAAATAGGGTTTACTTTTCACTGAAATAATTAAGTTATTATCAATGTTCTGATCAGATACTGAAATAAAGAGCTCTTGTAACACTTACCTAGAAGTGTCTAACACTTGCAATTTTCTCTAAGGCAAAACTCACTCACCTGATTTCACATCCCATAATAAGCAGGTTTCTTAAAAGGCGAAGAAAATGTTTCTGTATTACAATGGCAGAAATACTTCCTCTATTAACTAGTTAACAAGTAAAGTTTAATCCTACATCAGCCTTAAGAATCCTAGATAACCTGACTTCCCTTTCCCTAGAATGGTTTCTCTCACAAGTTGAAGGGACTAATGATCAAAGTAACCAAAAAAGAAAAAAGGCACATTAACTAAGGTTAAAAACACCATACGAGCATCCAAACACTGACCCACAAAGATTATAATGAGCTTTTCCACCACACCTAGCTTACAACGATTGCTAAAAAGAACAAGAAATACCTACTGTTGTTAACAGGTAGGCGTGGGATCTTGAATACTACTAGCTTGGGGGGTGGGGGTGGATGAAGATACATACACTGCTGGCAAAGTCCAGTAACTAACAATGTACATCTTACTATTTAAGTCTAAGTGCAAATATGGCTATTTCACAGTAGACTCTACTTGAAGGTAAATGGGCAAAGTTGGAAAAAAACAAAACAAAATACTAATAGATAATAAATCTGTAGTATAGAAGTTTTAACCATACAAGTGAATACAAGTTTTACCAAGTGAAGACATGCTCTGTTCCAACAGGCTATACCACACCTTGTTAAATACTAGGAATGTGCTAACAATGCAAAATACAACCAGGCAGACCTCGGTCTAGAGTGGACTTCTGATTTATGTAAATTACTTAGAGAACCATCTAAACACAGAGTTCAAAAAGGAATCCCCTCGGACTCAGCATCCACCAGGGAAAACCAATGAACCAAAAACGGATCATTAAAAAACCCACCAAACACTCCCCTTCCCTCAGTTTTAGCGAAATCGCAAAGTAAAAATAGAAAGACATCCACTTTACGCAATATTTTCGAATCCATAGTCCACTGCTCTTAAACTCCAAAATGCGCTTACAAGAAAGATCTTCAAACGCCCTAGAAATATACAACTCCTACCGCCCCGGAGTGCCTGAGCCAAGAAAGCGTTACAGAAAAGGCCTTCATCCGCTAAAGAAACCAACTCGCTAGTAAGGCGACTGCATGCACCCGAAGCCCAAGCAAGCCGGAGGAAGGACGGCCACAATGATACGCACCTGAAACGGCGCATTTCCTTACCGAGCACGTTAGGAAACACTTTTCCCCCCACTCAAAACACTGTAACACTGGAGAGTATGTTTACATACAAACAATGTTTGCAGCCTAAGCAGTTTTTCATGTCGACTCACTCGCTTTTTTCCCCCTCTGAGCACACAACCGGCATGGTTCCCGGAGACATTACATTGTACATCGCCTTTAACCCGCCGCTCCCTCCCCCAGTTTGCTAGTTCCGTGAAATGCCCTCTGTAGGCAAAGTCACGCGCCATCGACATTAGAAATGCAAAGGAAAAAAACCCTAAACCTTACACACACACACACACACACACACACACACTATTAAGACTTACTTTCCCACCAATGCGCACTTGTGCCTGCAGTTTGGCGAGTTTCTCTTGGTTCATGATAGTCTCTTTCATCTAGAAAAACAGGAAACCCTCAGCGAGGAAAGGTGTAGTTGGCCCTGGCATTACATTAGAAATGCAAAGGAAAAAAACCCTAAACCTTACACACACACACACACACACACACACACACTATTAAGACTTACTTTCCCACCAATGCGCACTTGTGCCTGCAGTTTGGCGAGTTTCTCTTGGTTCATGATAGTCTCTTTCATCTAGAAAAACAGGAAACCCTCAGCGAGGAAAGGTGTAGTTGGCCCTGGCATTCCACGCTCGTTACTTCCCGACCCCCCCCCCCCCCCCGGCC